TCTTCACCTTAATTTCCTCACCTGTAAAATGAGGTTAATAAAATCTATTGTGCAGGGCTGCTTTGGGAATTTTTATTTTATTTTAATTGTGGCGAAATACACGTAACAGAAATTTACCATTTTAACCATTTTTAAGTGTACAGTTCAGTGGCATTAAGTACATTCGCATTCTGTACAACCATTGCCACGATCCATCTCCAGAAAGCTTTTCATCTTGCAACACTGAAACTCTATACCCATTAAACAGTAACTCCCCATTCCTCCCTCTCCCCAAACCCAGGCAAACACCATTCTAATTTTCATCTCTATAAATCTGACTACTCTAGGTAGCTCACATAAGTGAAATTATCCAGTATTTGTCCTTGTATGACTGGCTTGTTTCACTTACCATAATGTCCTCCAGGTACATCCGTGTAGTAGCACATGTCAGAATTTCCTTCCTTTTCAAGGCTGAATAATATTCCATTGCGTGGGTACACTAGCTTTTGTTTATCCATTCATTCATCCAACACTTAGGTGGCTTCCACCTTTTGCCTATTGTGAATAATGCTGCTATGAACATGGTGCACAAATATCTCTTCCAGACTCTGCTTTCAATTTTCTTGGGTATATACCCAGAAGTGGAATTTCTGGATCTTATGGTAGCTCTTTAGAAACCTTCATACTGTTTGCCGTAGAAGCTGTATCATTTTATATTCCCACCAACAGTACGCAAGGGTTCCAATTTTCCAGATCTTCACCAACACTTATTTTCTATTTTTTTTAGTAACCATTTTAATTTTTAAAAGTAACCTAAATAAAGCTGCCCATGTACATGTCTGAATGTTAAACAATTGAGTACATCCAACTAGAGAAGACTTGGAGAATAGTTTAAGGTTATTTATAAAAGATTTTGTTGAAGGGGCACGGGGCCCCCTCCTGCTCTTTTGCGGCCACACGGCTCCACAAAGGACGAAGACCCTCGCTGCCACACTGCTGTCTTCTCCGTCTCCTCTGGTGGGCTCGTGCTACTTTCTCCCTGTCCCTTTCCAAACATTCCTCTCTCATGTGACTTTCCCTTCTGGGTTTAGCCTCCATAGGAAGCAGAATCTGGTCTCTACCTGCTTTTCTCTCTTGGGAAGCAGCTCTTTGGAATTCTGCTGAATAAATTTCTCCACTTTATTATATTATAATGAAAATCACTTGGCACATAGTAGCTACTCAATAAATGGTAGCTAATCTTATAGTACATACCTCATAGAGGTACTGTGAATCTTAAATGAGTTTATGCATGCAAAGGTCTTAGAACACTGCTGGCACTTAATTAGCGCTATCTGAAGGTTAGCTATTACTATTGTGGTCATAGTAATAAGGAGCCCAGTGTATGAAAACTTTATTATTTTTTAGCAAGAGAAGCTGTCAACAACTTGGTGTCCAGGGGACCATGAGTGGAGTCACCTTGGAGCAGATCATCTTTGGCTCTTCTCAGATCTTCAGAGCCTCCCCTTTCAGTATGCAAATGTAAGGTGAATAGATACCCAAGGCCCTAGAACAATGGCATGATGGAGCCTTTTGTAGTTTGACAAAAGCTGCTGTTCCCCTTATCCCCTCAGTAGTGGAAGGAGCTGAGTAAATCTGTACTAGGGTCAAGGAACTTCCTGAAAGGAAAAAGATTGAGACCTAACCCTTTCCGTGTTATCAGGATTTCTTTGCTAGATTTGTTGGGTCCTGACTGAACCTGCTTACAGAATAGGAAACAGTTCCAGAGAGGAGCTTGCCAAGGAAGCGGTGGTGGCGGTAGGGTCCAGGACCTGGGCAGGGATGGAGGAGGAGGGTGGTGACGGGTGCTGGCTTCTGCCTGGGTCTGGCAGGCCTTCTGGACGAGAAGCAGCACACCAAAACTTGTCTAATGGCTAGTTGTTTTGGAGCTGCCTGCATCTCCACATCTCCAGTTTTTTGCTTCTAAAAGAGACACAAGAACAGGTTAAGAATCTTTTAGTTCACATGCCTAGCACCTAGTGAATGTCTGGAATAAGGTGAGCCCTCACTGAAGGTTGTGGGACTAACCAGAAAAGGCAGGACCAGACCTTTGGAATCAGGGCGTTTCTTCTCTCCCTGCCTCCGTCCCAGCAGTGACTCCACAATGAGGAGTCGTGGGGAGTTATCCAGTGGTGTTTAAGTACTGAGAACCCTTTGAATGAGAGCCATTCTCAGGGTAGTGCGTGACTGGAGTGATCTCTTCCTCGTGATGTGTCATAGTTTTGCTCTGTCATTTGAGCACTTGAAATCGTAGCATTTAAAAATGGAAAATCAAGGCTTGTCCAAGGAATTAATCTTTTCCTTCCCCCCCCCCCCCCCCGCCCCCCGCCTTTCTTTTCACAGATCGATGCTGTGGAATGGAGAGTTTCTGAGCACTAGGTCCAAATGGTTTGGTTTTGTTTATGGAGGGAGAAAAAGTTGACTTTTATCTAATCATGCTTTTGACAAGAATACTGAATAAACTCTAGAATCTGGCAAACGCAAATCCTCCCCTCCTAGCCTTTTAGCTGGAAGAAGAAGGCTGACCCACATCTCGACTACTTTACCTAATATTTATATAGCAGCCATCACCATACAAATACAGCACCACGGTAACTGGCACAGTCTCAGCCCCACCCTTTTATTGCCTAACTCCTTTTTTTCTCCCCACTCGGTGTTTCACCCAAACATGTGGAAAGGACAGACTACAACAGGTCCACCTAGAAGTGAGACGGCTCTGGAATCCTTCTCCCCAGACTGGCTGTGTGACTTCGGAGAAGTTATTCAACGTCTCTGAGCCTGGGATTCCTCAAAGCTAAAGTGGGAATAACTGCAGATGCAGTTCACAGGACTATCTGGAGGATTAAGGTAGTTTATAGTAGGTCCTCAGTGGAGAGGTCTTCTTCTCCTGTGTGAGATGCAAACAAGCTCCCAGTGGGAACTCCAGGGGGCCAGAAGTGTTCATTTTCCAGACTCCTTGACACTTCCTTTGTAATCATATTTCACTGTAACTGCCTCAGGCATGTTCCAACAGAAGCTTCTCATGTTCAGGACACCCTCTCTAAGTAGTTTACATCCTTAGGCTTTTTTTCAGTAGGGGCCTCAGTAAAGGGGAATCCTTAACTCACTCCCCCAGCGCCTGCCTTTCTGCTTAGGATAAGCTGAGACGGGGGGAGGCCCAGCTAATAGGAATTAAAAGCAACACCTCAGCACTTGGTGTTCTTCCTACAGGACCCTTAGGCCTCTTAGCCCTGGGGAACCCCAGGGAGAAACGGGCGGGGGGGGGGGGTGGGGGGGGTGGAAATTCCCCTTGTTCTTCCTATTGTGTTTTATTCCAAAGGTCGTATTTGACAGAAGCTTTTTCCAGGCTTTCCCCAACCCATTTAAGGCCATCTATTTTTCATCCCACCCTCTTCTTGGTCTCCCTTTTGTTTTCTTTCCTTACCATCCTTCTTCCCTTTTCTGTTCTCATCTCCTCACACTGACAGCTTTTTCAAAGCGTCCTGGTACCAACCGCTCCACAGAGAATGCTGTTTTACCCGACCCTGAAAAAGATTATTAGAATAATAATTTCGAGGCAGAAAGTTCAAGGCCAAGGTAATTTTTTACTATTTTAAAAAAATATTTATTCTTCTTAATGAATAAAGTTCTACATGCTCATTGTGGGAAAGCGGGGACAAACGAATCGAACAGCCCATATGTGGGTGTAGTATGAAAGCAGTCCATTCTCATTCACTCCCCTCCATCTCATTCACTGGAGGTGACAAACACTTAACAGTATGACGTACATTCTTCCAGAAATTTCTGTCGTTTTTGGTCATTTGACAAGATAGCAATTGCCTGCTGTGTTCTGGGCAGTGTGCTAGGTGCTGGCACCGATGGTGAACAGACATAAATCTATAAATGCATGTATGTGTGTTTATCTGTCATATACATTGGCAAAAATTAGATCATGATTTTCAACATATAAAATCCACTTGTCCATATTAGTATGTAAAAATAAATATATCCATAAATAAATATTTATGCTTTTTAACAGCTGTGTAGTATTACATTGTAAGGATATACCAAAACATATATAACCTGTATATGCTGTTTTAAAAACAAGCCGTATTCCCCCTGCTTGTAGAGCAACGCAGTTCACATGGCCCACTTGAGGAGAACCTGGCAGTCTGGCTGGGGATGCTCTGGGACCTGTCCCCTGCCCATGGATGGAGAGACAGCCTGCCAAGTGGGCTGACCCTTGGGCCTCTTCAACACGCAGGCAAGGCCAGCACCAGAAGCACAGCGTGTGCCTGCCCAGGACCCAGATGTGGTGACTAGCTGGTCAGTGGCAAAACTGAGCTTGCACCCAGGGCCCTCTGACTCCAGAGCTCCAGACCCCACAGCTCCCATTACCCTCCACCGCCCCAGTTATCCCATCTCCAGCATCTCCTTCAGCAATAAATTCTGTAGGCTACTGATTAAACTAGGAGAAAGGAGGGGGAGAAAATAAACGAGATCTTGAAAAATTCAGAGGATGATGTATAAGCGTATATGTGTATATGTATACATGTATATGTGTGTATGTATGTGTATGTATATATATGTGTATGTGTGTATGTGTGTGTATTATGCATATATATGTGTGTATGTGCATGCATGTGTATATGTGTATGTGTGTAGGTGTGTGTATGTATATATGTATGTGTGTATGTGTAAGTGTGTATGTATGTGTATATGTGTATATGTGTGAGTGTGTGTATGTATGTGTGCACGCTCACAGGGGGATGGGTTAAGGGCAGCAAATGTTTTAAGCAGTTAGAAATATTAAGAACCTATTATTTTCTACTCATCTCCACTATCTGTCCCCCATCTCCTTCTTTGGAGCTGCTAATGAATAACCAATCTTAACAGCCAAGTTCAATCCCCTCCCCAGGCGCCTCTCATGCTAGGGTACTGTGTTAATGCCAAGGTCCTGGGCAGAAGGGACATTCCTCGGCACTTACTTAGCTGGGTGGTGAAACAAAAATACAGCCTAATTGGTCAGTGGCCTTTTCTGTTGAATGAAGGAGGTTTCTGTTTTAAGAAATAAAGTGACTTCTCAGCTGTTGATTCACTGCCCACAGGGAGATTGCTGAGCGGAGGCTTCTTAGTCTCCGTAGAAATTTGCATACAACTTCCACTTCCTGCTTCAGAGCCTGTTCTACTGCTTACCTGGGCCTGGAGAGGGTGAAGGGCGGCCGGTGGAGTGCCACAGGCAGGAGAGAGTGTGACCACCCTGTGGCCCGGTTTGTCGTGGTGGTTCTAAGGTAAGTTGTTCAGACTTGTCTCCTGCTTAGCCTTACTTCCTAACCACTGATCCATTTTCAAGACATCTGCTTTCTCCTTTGCTGAAACGTCCTGCCTTACTTTCCTCCACCTCCCTCTCCCGCCTTTAACTTGTGCGTGTAGAGACCAACTCGGGCTGAGAAAATGACAGTTAAGTTTCTGCTGCAAGAAAATGTTGGTGGTTTAGTATTTCAGACAGAGGAGCTGAGATTAACTCTTCGAGGAGTGAAGGCACACACACAGGGCATGGTTCGGAGCTGCCTGGGAACCATTTGTTTGAGTACTTAGCGTCTCCACAAGTTTTGATTAAGAATACAAGTCCCATTTCTCCAAGGAGGGAGGCAGGGATGGCAAAGACTAGGAAACTGGCTTCGAGCCCCAGGACATGTCAGTGACAGAGATGGAAGGCCAACTCCCAAGTTTTCTTGATTCCTGTTTCATCCAGGGAAAAAATCAACGCCACATTTTTGGGCCAGGAAGTTCAGCTCAGCTCTGTGCTGGCTCTGGGCTGCTTTCTTGGACTCTCTCCAGCAGCCCTACGCCCCTCCAAGCAACCCAGACATTTGCTGGCACCGGACAGAGTCTTTAGGGAAAACAAGGGAGAAGTGCTATTACTTTATCTTAGAAGCTAATCAAGCTTCATGTGTCTTCCAAGTTCAAGACAGTCTGTTACAATGCGGGGATATTTTTAATGAGCAAAAAAAAAAAAAAAAAAAAAGAGAGAGAGACTAAATATTTAATAAAAAAGAAGATGAGAAACTTGGCTTTAAGTTCTCACTCCACTTCTTGTCGGCTCTGAGACTTAGGCAATTCACCTAGGCCTGGATTTCTTCATCGATCAAACGTGTGGGGGTGAGGGGTGGGGGTGGTGAACTAACTCGATTTTGTCTAAATTCCCTTCTGACAAAATAAGGCTAGGGTATAGGAGTCCCAGAGGAGAGCTGTAATGGGAGGTCTTTAGAAGACTTGTTTTGTTTACTGATTTTTCAAATATATTAATTTTGCCTCCTGCTACTAGATGGTTAGTCCCTGGGGGGAAAGGACTTTGTTTCTTAATCCTTTTCTACCCCATAGCCCCCAGAATACTATCGAACACCTCATAGGTGCTCAGGATCCTTTCACATAAGCTACTCTGATTTCTGTTTCACTAATCTCTCAAGGCAAAAGGTAAACCAGTAGTCTGAGAGAAAGGCTGAGGGAGACTGGGCAGCCACATGCCTCTGTGGGAGGGCTGCCTGGAATGTAGGGGTTATTATCGGCTCTAGCTAAATAAGAGAAAACAGGAGAGGTTTCTTGAATTAGTTCATGTCCCATTTGTGTTATGCAGGAAGAACTGTGCTGTGCAGTTGCCCACAGAGTCAAGGCAGGCCAGAGAACTGGCAGACAAGCTCGATTCCAGAAGGCTGTGTTTCTTAGCTAGAGCTGGAAACCACTCCTCAGTAGACTAATAACTGCATGTGGGGCTGTTCATGGGAGGTGAAAGGAAGTTGTGAAGCACATCCTGATACCATGTAAGGGTGATGATTATGGTTGGACACATTCTTAGCTAGTGAACACACAGAATCTTTAACCTTTTCCAAACCACTACTTGTTGTTGTTGTTGTTGTTGTTTATTTCTTTGGGACAATTACTCTCAGTACAGTTCAAACAGGCCCTGGCTGACTGGGATGGGCTGACTCAGGGCTTTCGATATCACTAAACTGTTCCTAGACTATCAAGGCCCTGGTATGGTCCTCAGCATGTTTTTAGAGAGCCAGGAGTGAGAGGTCAGGAACTGCAAGCTGTTTCACCTGTGATGAGTTACTGATTTTTTTATTTTTAAATAATGACGCACCATTATCTGAAATCAGGCTGTCGTATGGCTGCCAGCCTAGTTTTGATCCAGAAAGACCACCCACCGTCATTCTTAATCTGGTATCGCAACTCCAAGTCATTCCATGATGGAGCATCATGAGACGGACCATGCATTAACTTAGCTCTGTTCATTGCATGGGGTGGGCTAACTGGGAGTGAAGTCTGGGCAGTAAACCAGCATGTTGAGGAGAAGATTCTTAACTCAAGGATACTCATTTCTGGAGGGTGCAAAGAGAAAATGTTAAAGCCTGCTTCTCTTAGGATTAAGGAGTTAGTAACTTTTAAATGCTGTGAGAATAAAAAGAAGAGGAGCAGGCAGTCATATTTGTGGGCATCCTTTAACGGGCACTCAGAAAGATAGATTATGTGAGTAGTTTGTCTAAATTAAATCTATGTTTTACACATTGTGGATTCGAAATCTGAGAAATACCCCTAATTCAAATCACTTTTCTGGTGTTGGCAATTTTAGATTAATCTTTTAAAACATATATAGATTGAAGGCAACTGATGCAGAAAAGAACACAGATGAGGCACATTAAACTTTAAATTCCTTTCAGATCTGATGAAATGACCCCTAATGTTTGATTATATTTCCTTATCAAAACAATCCTGCAGTCCTTCAGTGAGAAAGCTTCCGAGGATTGGAATCAAGAAGCTCTCCCCTTGGGCCTCTCTTGTTTCTTCCCAGCACATTGTCCCCAAGATATTTTTAGTTCATGAAACCCAGGCTGTCCTTTCTCTCTCCGACATTCTTTGCATCTCTTGCCCAGCAGGCCTCCTACTAGCCTACATGTGTTTCCACGTCTGACTGCTCAGTTCACTGTGTGTGCGTGTGTGTGTGTGTGTGTGTGTGTGTGTGTGTGTGTGTGTAGATTTGTACACAGACCTTCCTGGAGACCAGAAGCTATAAACTGGTCAGCGGAGGAGGGTGGGCTTTTATCCACCTTGTGACCCTGAGAGCTGTGCTTGTTTGGCTCGGTTCCCTGATAAAGAAGCTGAAATCAAGTTATTTGGGACTAATTGGAGCCCCCAGCACCAATGTCCCCCTTTCTTCCATCTTGCAGACCTACGCTGGCTCAGGTCTTGGCAGCTACCTCAGTAATAATGGAAACTTGGCTCTTCTCTGTCTCATTGTTTTCCTGCACTCAGGATTCCAGCGTTTTTCCTTCTTCCCCTCCCAGAGTCACCAGGTCTCCCACCATCTCTGAACTCTCTTCCTCCTCTGTGAAGCTTGCTCAGACTCTTCCTGGATGACCAGCTTACCCCTAACTCTCTTGTCTTTTACCTGGATTCATTCTTTCCCTTTCCTTTCAACGGCTCACAGCCAGGAATACATTTAAAAAATCACAATTTAAATAAGCCTCTCTACTACACCAATAAAGAGCAACATTTTTAAAATTTCCTTCATGATTTTTTCACTTTCCTTGCTTCCTTCGTCCAGTCTCCTTTCTTCCTTTTCTATTCCTTCCTCTTTCTCTCCTGATTTTTCCTGTCTGTCCCTTCCTCTCCTTCACTCAGGAGCCTGGACTGAATTAAGAATCACAAATGTGTATGTAGAGAAATCTTATCTGAAATAAGCAAACAAACACATAAACAACCCATGAGCTGTTCTGCGGTTGTTCTCTAAGTGTTTATTGCCAACTTCCATCGTGGCAGAGTCATTGTGTTCCCGTTGGTCCATGGCCTCCAGAGTGGACTTCTTCAAATCAGGTCAGGTCACGCTGTACTGCCTCTGGCCTGACCTGAGCCGTCCCACGCAGGGCATGAAGAAGGGCCAGTAAATGCTCGCTTGTCTCCAGGGCTCACCACTGCCTCCAATCCTCTGGCAAACCAAATGGAAGAAATGCTCTGGGAAATTCTGCAAGTAAACTTGAAAGTATTTATTCGCTGGAATTTGACCCTGAGCCAAACAGTTCACTCAAGACCAACTTCCACTAAGCAAACCGATGTGAAAGTTTGCACGCATTTGGGCAGTAAACAAAGAACATTAATAAGTTTAAAGATTTTTTTTTTTAATCCATGACTTTTAGACACATGAAAAAACTACTCCCTGAGGGATAAAGCGAGACCTTGAGAATCTGTAATTGAAAGTATCTGATCCAAATTGGATCTGAGGAACTTCCTAGCTATAAATTTATGTATTTATCTATAATGTCCACCTGAAATATTCATGCTGTGTGTCTAAGACTCTTCCACCCTTTTGTTGACCTAAAGAATGCTTTTAAAAACTCCAAGCAGTTGGTGAACAGCAGCAAGCCTTGATTGCTCGAAGCTGGTAATGTGGTTTATTAATTACTCAGGCTGCTCACTCCTGCCCGTCCTCTGTTTCTTGCTCTGCTATCTGTCTTCTTCCAGGGACGTAACACCTTCATTAAATCCCATCCGTCCTTGCCTCAGAGGCGTCCTCTGGAAGATATCCCCTCTCTAGATGCATCACCATTTATCATCACCATTTGTTTGTGCTCTGTCAACCAGTTTTCAATTTACTTTGAATTCAGTTTATGATTAAAATTTAATGAGATCCAATCAAGTGCTTTCTTCAAATCAAGATGCCTCTACCGTCCCATCCATATCCTCTATTGTCATGTATGAAGGAAAGCCACCATAGGTTTCCAGGCTGGCAATTTTTTATACAACACAGGTGGCCTACATCCACGCCTCCTTAGCTTCAAGGAGAATGGTTCTAAGACATATTTATGCCAGAAGCTTCTAGAGGTTACTCAACTCCTCCCAACCCTTTATCCCCCACAAATAGTTGTATAACTCAATGCTCCCAACCCAGACACAAATGGTTAAGTGCAGGGCTCCAGCGCTGAACTGCTTGGATTTGAATCCCATCTATGCTACTTACTGGCCTTGTGACCTTGGGAAAGTCACAACTTAACATCCCTGTACCTCAGTTTCCCCAACTGTAAAATGGGGCTGACAATAGTACCTATCAAATAAAGTGGCTGTGAGAATGAAGTAAGTTAATACATGCAGAACACTTAGAACAATATATGATGCATAGTAAACATTCAATAAATATAAACAATTATTACTAACAAAGAGTAAGATTTCTTAAGTACATCCATTTCATTAGATTTATATTTTGATTTATCGGCAAGTAGGTAAACTACAACCCTTG